TATCTTCTGCTTCTCAAAAGAAGAGAGGTTTAGCACTATATGTTAAGGAAAAACTGGACCCTAAATATATTCTTGCTGATGAGGATGGTAGGATCCTGATGGTTGAAATTACAATCAAACTTAAAAAGGTGCTCTTAGTGGCAATATACGTGCCAAATGATCATCAGGAAACTTTTTACCAACAATTACATAGTTACTTTTTCAAGTGGACTACCAGACTATGTGTGTGATGGGAGATTTCAATACAATTGTGGATAAGGAAATGGATCATAAGAGTGAGAGTAAGGGGGAAAAGGGTAGGAGGATACTTCCAAACTCTTGTTCCAACATGATTGAAGAATTCAGATTGATAGATGCTTGGAGGCATAAAAACCCAACTTCTGTCAAATATTCTTTTATTCAAACAGACATAGGTCATAGTCCAGAATTGATATGGTTTGAATAACTCCAGACTTAGTACCAGATTTGATAGAAGCTGAAATAGAGGCAAATGTCTGGGCAGGTCATAACCCTGTATCTTTATCATTGAAAGGAACCATAAGGACGCCCAGATGGAGCCTAGACAAAGCGTTGTTAAAAGATTTAAAAAATTACAGAAAAGATAAATAAAGAAAAGCAAGTATTCTTTCAAATAAACAAAGCGGAAGAAACTTCTTTACAGAATGTCTGGGATACAGCTAAAGCCTATGTCAGGGGATTGGTAACAACACATTCAGCAAAAATAAAGAAAAAGAAAAAGCAAGAGCGAGCAATAATAGTAGAGGAATTGATGAAACAGGAACAAGAACTGCAGGAAGATCCATCAAAAAAAAATCTTAAGGTCCAAATGAATATTCTAAAGCATAAACTGAATCTCTTGGACACAAATGAACTTACTAAGCAAATGAAGTTGACCAAACAGAATTTCTTTGAAAATGCTAATAAACCAAGGAGATGGTTGGCACATAAAGAAAGAAAGAGAGAAGAGACTGATTTTGAAATTGAAAGACAGAAAAAGATGACTAAATGTACAAAGCACACAAATTAAGAAAATAGCGGAAGACTTTTTCACAAAGTTATACCAGAAAGATGAGATTCCAACTGAGAAACTAAAAGAATACATCTGAAAGGGAGACTTACCAAAACTACCAGAAAAATATCAAAAATTATTGAACCAAGAAGTAACAACTATGAAAGTAATAGAGGCAATTAAGCGACAAAAGAATGATAAAACCCCTGGCCCGGATGGACTGCCAGCTCAATTTTACAAATCCTTTGAAGGAGTTTTTGCTACATTTTTAAAAGATATATGTAATGAAGCACTGCTAAATGCTAAAATACCAACTACTAGGACAGAGGCAAATATTACACTAATACCAAAAGAAGATAAGGATTTAACACAAATTCAAAACTACAGACCTATATCATTACTAAATGTGGATTACAAAATTTTTGCCTCTATATTGGCAGAAAGGCTAAAGAAGTTTCTAACAGACTTTATTCATCCAGACCAAAATGGCTTCTTGCCTAAAAGACAAATGAAGAATAATCTGAGAACTATCTTGGATATCCTAGAATATTATGAGATACACATGGAAAAACCAATGGCTTTACTGCTTATGGATGCCCAGAAAGCCTTTGATAATATCAACTGGCAATTTATGAAGCAACGGATGGCTCAAATGGAGTTTGGTGAAAAATTTATGAATGCGGTATCAAGCATTTATCAAAGACAGTCGGCCAGGATTTTAATTAATGGAGAACTTACAAGGGCTATAGAGATACAAAAGGGCACAAGACAAAGATGCCCGTTGTCACCCCTGTTGTTTATTCTGATTTTAGAAGTATTGAATGGAAATGTCAGGGGTGACAAGGACATTAAAGGTACTAGAAGTAGGGATGAAAGTTATAAATTGCAAGCATTTGCAGATGATTTGGTCTTCATAATGGAGGAACCTTTTGTAACAATGCCTGAACTTTTACAATGGATTGAAGAATATGGTGAGGTTACGGGGATGAAAATAAATAAAGAAAAAACGAAACTGCTAGTTAAAAACCTTATGCAAGATCAAAAAAAAAAAAAGACTCCAGGAACAAACAGACTTGCAGATTGTTAAAAAGGTTAAGTATTTGGGAATCTACCTTACAGCCAAATGTACTACTTTGAAAGAAGATAATTACGATAAATTATTGAAGGATATTAAAGGTGATCTGGAAAAATGGGCCAATTTACAATTATCTTTGATGGGAAGAATTGCACTTGTTAAAATGAATATACTACCCAAGCTTTTGTTTTTGTTTCAAATGATTCCTGTAAAAATTGATAAAAAATTCTTTGATGATCTAAACTTTCAAATTTCGAGATTTATCTGGAGAAAAAAGAAACCCAGGATTAAATTAAAAATGCTACAGGAAGCCAAAAAAATGGGGGCTTTGGTCTTCCTGACTGGATGTTGTATTATCAAGCGTCTGTTCTAACTTGGCTAAAAGAATGGATAACTTTAAGAAATAAGAGAATTTTGTATCTTGAAGGTCATGATTTGCAAATGGGTTGGCATGCTTATATGTGGTACGAGAAGGCTAAGTCACATGGGTCTTTTTTGAGTCACTTTATTGGAAGATCATTAATGTCAGTGTGGAAAAGTTAAAGTTAAAGTCAAAATTGTATAATGAACTACCAAGATGGCTTTCACCTATGGAAGCTTTTGAGTATCCAAATGCATTGAACTTTGAAGGGATCATAAGATATGACGATATTTTGGATAAGGATGGAGGCCTGAAATTAGATCAAGAAATACAAGAACAGGGATTTAATATCTCTTGGTGGTATAAAGTGCAGATGCAATCGAGATATGCTAAAGATTGTAAAGTATGGGGGTTTTATAAAGAATTAACAGCGTTTGATCAAGTGATGCTCAAAATAGATGAGAAAATGATTAAAAGATTATATGATTTCTTACTTGACAGGAAAATGGAAGAGGAACAGGTTAAGGAAACTATGATAACCTGGACACAAAATTTTGGATATAATATTGAATTAGAAAAGTGGCAAAAGCTATGGGAGAGAAATATTAAGGTAACATTAGCAACTTCGTATAAAGAAAATTTATATGAAATGTTCTATAGATGGTATTTGTCGCCAAGTTGATTAGCTAAGATGTTTCCAAATATGTCAAATGGATGTTGGAAATGTAAACATAAAGTGGGTACTTTTTTACCATATGTGGTGGACCTGTGACAATGTGAAAAAGTATTGGATTAAAATACATAAATGGCTTGAGGAAATGCTACAAAAACCCTTAGCTTTTAAACCTGAAGTTTTCTTGTTAGGCATTATACTGGAAGATATTAGCAAACAAGAAATGTATCTGATGTTAAATGTAATCACTGTGGCGAGGACTGCATTCGCTCAATACTGAAAAAGTGAGGAATTACCCACTGATGAACTGATTCTAAAAAAGATGCTGGACTGTGCAGAAATGGACAGATTGACTTTATCACTGAAGGAGAAAGAAGATACTGACTTCTATCAAACTTGGGACCTTTTTTATGACTGGCTGGAGAAATGGGATTTGGCTTAGATTTAAAGATGTTTTTAAGTTATTATAAATCGATTTGAATATGACTATAGAATGTTAAAAGATATGTAGTAGGGGGCTGACCCAGTACGTCCGATGTATTTGATCATTAATGTTTTTAGTATTAGTTTAAAATTTTAATTAAAAATCTTAAAAAAAAAAAAAAGAAAAGGATCTCCTTGAGAGCGAGCCAGTGCCTTGCCAGGAGATCCTTTTCTCCGAGCGAGGGGGAGATCATTTTGGACTCGTTGGGAGAAAATTATTTCTGCACACGCATGCCCGCCTTTCTGCATGTGGGTGCACGCATGCACCCCCCCACCCCAGCCCGCCCCCCAAACACCCGCACCGCCTTGGCAGCCTACGCCCATCCCTGGAACCTTTCAACTGGCCCCCTATTCAAAAAGTTTGAGGAACCCCTGGTCTAGATAGTGATATATGGGTATGCAAAATGGAAAATGAAAGGAAGTTATCATCAGGACCCATCAACCAACCCAAGGTAAAAATTTGCCCATCTCTCCAAGTCCAACAGACAAAACTTCTCTTTCCAATCTTTAAGTTTAGGTTTCATCATGATTTTGTATGTTAAAATAAGTCAAACTGCAACTGATGTGAAAATAATGCCCCGCCTTTACAACTGCCATAACTTTAGAAGGCACATTATCTGTCTTAACATAGTAGGAACGCAATACAATCTATTTAGCAAGAATATCCAAAAAAAAAAAAAATGTTTCCAGAACTGACTAGGCAGAGGAACCTAGTCTAGGTTCTAAAGAACAAAGCCTAGTCAACTGATAAGCCAATGATTAGGGAAGTCAAAACCACCTTCTTTAATTGAAAGTTGCATCCTTTTCAAGGATATTCATTACAGAATGACAAGAACTGACATAAAATGTCTGGACTGTCTGAAATTCTTAAACATTTGTCTTGTGTACTCAGCACACTAGAAATGTAAACAAAAAGGTACCTATTTGCATATATGGCAATTATAAAAATTAACAAATACATTTCAGAAAAAAAAGTAATGCATGCACTGATAAAATATCAAGTGTTAAGCTATCTTTAATTCCTTTGATCCCCTGCTACCCCAACAAAGAATACACTGTTAGCACACATATAGATAATATTTATAGAGATTGTGCCTGATAATTGGAGAAGGTTTTGGAAACTTTTAATACTTCTTAAACTTTCTGAATGGGAAAATAAATTAAATAAATATGCAATCATGTCCAAACTAATTATATACAGGTGCATGACAGGAGACAGGTTCAAAACAATAATACTGGTTATTGGAAAAAAAATCACATACTTCTAATAGTTTTAATTATACTTAGGAATATTTATACTGTGTATTTTGCACTTTAATTTTATGGATTTGTTTTGTACTAACAAGAACTGATATAAACTTTAATAAAAAAAATAAGATTTATTCAATGAGTACATTACCCAGGTGATTAACAACGTAACGACCCAGGAATCCTGTTGCCCCAAAGACAGTGGCTGTAATGCCACTGACAGAGGAGCGCCCACTCCTTCCATGAGGAATCATAGCGTAATGAACATGGCGGTCTTGCTGAAAAACGTTCAATACTGATGGAGACGTGCCATAACCTAAAACACAAGAAAATTAAGCTATATGCATGAAAGGCCTGATATCTCAAAACCAAGCTAAGAGCACAGGCAGAGCATACCAGAAAAGAGAGAAGGAATAGGGAATCCCATATTATATCAACTGCTTGGCTTAAACTACGTTAAAGCTTAAACTAGCTTAAACTAAGTCATACCGAGACAGAATGAACAATCACCTCAAGACCACAAAGTGAGATTCATGGCTGAACCAGGATTTTAACCCAGGTCTTCTTACTCTAACACGCTATCCACTCCCCTATAGCGGCTTCAAAGTCATTACCACAGAGATAACAATGTCAGCTATGCTGTAAGAAAAATTCTACCAGCTGTTACTGTGTGTTTCAAGGAGAGGCACTCAGAGCCACCCTGCCCAAATAGCTATCAAATGGCTTAGGCAGGCAAATGTCAAACTAGTTGCAAATCCCTGCCCTATTATTGATGATATAAAGGATGTTCCTGCTGATAAAGGTGCCTAAAACAAGAATATGTAGTCAAGGTTTGTTTGTGCTTGTGTTGTATTTGTGTTTTTTGGGGGGAGTGGGGGGGACATTGAGATTTCAATGTCTTCCTATTTTTACTGCTAGGTCTTAATATGAATTATTAAGGTACAGAATATATATAGGAGTGCTTCCTAGGGGATTTTCATTTATTCATATCTTTATGATTGGTTAAGTTTTGTTTGTTTGTTTTATTTATTTGATTGATTTATACCCTGCCTTTCCATCAAGGAAATGGAGTTCAAAGTGACTAACAGTAATAAGAATCAACATGTAATTTAAAATAAGCATGTAATTAAATAAGCATAATTTAAAACACTGTTAAAAACATAACATAGAACAATAATCCATTGTATTCTAGTTGCTATTCAATCACCTTGAAAAACAGGGTAGAGATTAGAGCAGAGAGGAGACAAGGAGAACACTGGAATTCATGCCAGAACTTGCTGAAGGACTGAGGAAGGACCAGGAAAACCTTTCACAGTAAGTCCAGTTGTCTGTCAGGCACACCATGGCCTAGCCCAGGGGTCCTCAAACTTTTTAAACAGGGGGCCTGTTCACTGTCCCTTAGACTGTTGTGGGGGCAGACTATAGTCTGAAAAAAATATGAACGAATTCCTATGCACACTGCATGTATCTTATTTGTAGTGCAAAAAACAGGAAAAAACAATACAATAATTAAAATGAAGAACAATTTTAATCAACAAACTTATTAGTATTTCAATGGGAAGTATGGTCCTGCTTTTGGCTAATGAGATGCTGACATCCCAGAAATGTGTCCACAGCAACACAATGAGTATAAAACTGATATGATTAGGACCATTTCTGCAGAGAACAATCGTAAGCTCATCATGAGCACAGAGCACATTTACATATGTGGTAGTGCGATCCACAGGGGATCACTTTTTGGAAAGCAATGGACAGGTGGTTTAACTGCCATCTCCAATAGCAACCAAATGACACTAATCTGCACTCACATCAGTGCACACCCATAGAAAACATGACGTGTGGCATCCTACATCAAAATTTGCATTACATTTTCATGAGCAAAAATGAGGAGAGATGGAGGGGAGCAACTTCTGAATCTGCTAAAATTTATGGTTTTTTTAATTTAAAAATATAAAACAGCTTTTAGAAAAAGAGAAACTCACTGAATATCCACTAGGTCCTGCAACTCAAGTGCATCTCTACCAATTATGTCTCTGCATATAGTTTGTAAAGATGGATGTGTGTTGCAGGACTTAGTGAATATTCAGTGAGTTTCTCTCTTTTTTTAAACCTGTGTTTTGTTTTTTAATTAAAAATGTTTGCTCCACTCACTTGGGCTGCAGCAGAAGCCCAAGATGACACCATGCCACCCACCGAAAGGGAGAGCATGTCATGAGGGGAAGCCATGAGGGCGCGCTCGCCTCGGTCGAGGCTTTCCCGGCTCCTCGCTGCCACCCTGCTTCCGAGCCGGAGGAAGGTCCCCTTGCAGGCGCTCACCCGGCTCTGGGAGGGAGAGCAGGATCAGGAGACCGGAAAGGCGAGTGCGGGGCGGCTCCTGGATGTGAAGAGAGAAGTAATGGCTGCTTTGCACAGGCCAAGGCAAGGAGAAGCGAGCTGAGCGGAGCACCTCCTACCTCTCCCCACTGCGGGGAGAAGCATGGCAGCCGCTCAACGGCGGCAGCTTGCCCTGAGAAGGCCGGGGCAAAGGTGCAGGAGCCACGGTCCCGCTCCCGCTCCGCCTCGACCCACCTGCCCCCAGGTTCGGCAAGGTGGCCGCAGCTTGGCCTGCAGCTCGTGGGATGTGGCTCATATTTTAGTGGTTAAAAAAAAAACCCAGATTAACCTTATTACATTGAACGTTATAGGGAAATCTGATTATATTTTTCTTACTTCTATTTTTCTTTAATGTCTTCGTCTCTCTCTCCTCCCACTGCCCTCCTCTCTTCTGTATTCCCACTCCATATTCCTGCTCTGTATTCAGAGCCAATGCATGCGTGCAATAGGGGGAAGAGCTGGAGTATGCACAATTCATGCTGGCAAGACCAGCACAGTAGCAGGAGCTAGCCAGAGCTAGCAGAGAGAGCCAGATCACGTGCAGTTGAAGAGAGTTGTTACAATTTGGCATGTGCACCGGCTCTCTGCTAGTCTCTGAAACTGAGTTTCAGAGTATGCCTGCGCTGACTCAGAGCTTTTGTACTCATTCAGAGATCGTTTTCTCCAAATGAGTCCAAAAGCTCTGAGGCGGGCCAGGTAAATAACCTTGGCAGGCCATATCTGGCCCATGGGCCATAGTTTGAGGACCCCTGGCCTATACTATACAGTTCTAGCTATACTTGAACTGCGTTTGTGTTTGAACTTGTGCTTCAGGTGCCCCCCCCCCCCACAATCACACACACACATCAAATTGTCCACAAATTGAATATTTTTGTATATGTCCTGAATGATTTTGTTTATCATTCTTCCCAGACGTTCCATTTCTAACCTTTGGGTCAACTGTCAGTCAACATTTCTATATGCGCTAAATACAACCAGCAACTTACATGCACATATCTAGCACTATAAAAACAGAAGCACAAATATGTTCAAGTTGTTGTATATGTGTATCTGAACTATTGATACGTACAAGACAAGATGGATATTCCTTACAGAATGCAATGAACCCTAATGGGAAGGCAGAAAACAAATCCCTGCAACTGTATAGCATGCCAGGCAGCTACTGCAAGTTTGTAAGTAGTATCCCTGATGGTGCCATAACATAACAGGATACAGGCACACACCTAAAGAATATGTAGTAACACCAAAGATGTAATAACACCCTTGAATGCATAACTTGGACTTTAGTCAGGTGGCGCACTCCTACGATTTCCCACAATTTCTGGAACAGACAGGAGACAAAACCAGTGTCTTTCTCAGGTAACAAACTTTCAAATTTTATCAGACAAAAAAATTCTTAAACAAGAAGCAGAGAGATGCCAATGGAGCAGCCTCTGTGTACCATGTGGAAATATTAATGACAGTGACAATGAGTGGGTGAAATAAATCGATCCATAATGTCATTCCCTACCCACTCAAAGAGGACTTCTGCCAGGGTAAAGGAAATAGTTGTGGGGGGCAGGACCTTCCACTGATGTCAATTAATTTCTTTCTCTGGCACAAGTCACAGGAGTATCCCAAGTCTTTAACTGCTTCAGTCACTAGGGTCCAGTACAACTCCTCTAATATTCTACACTGAGTTCTTTTATCTCCTAAATGAACAATTCCAAGACTTACAACTGGTCATCACTAGGGATCACCTGTTGCCACCAAGGAGATCACTTTACTCCATGCTGCTTGAGCAAGAGTTCTTGATCTAACATTCCCTGTTCCCAGAAGAAATGAACTGAGCAGCTTGGTGTTAGATCCTTATGTTCTTTGTCTCCCTCCTGACAGCCCTGCAAGGAAGAATCACTGGACATCTTGGTAGGCTCTAAAACATGTGTGTTTGTCTCAGCCTTCCTCTCATTGTGATATATCAATATCTAGGCACAAGATACTTAGATATTAGAGGTCTTCTTCATAAAGACCCTAAAAAAGGTTTCTCATTACATGGCCATAAACAGAAGAAGGTAACCAAAACAAAGTACTATTCTGGAATAACTACTTTTTCATTCTACCATAAGACAAGCAGTGATGGAGTCAGGTGGATTCATCCATTTCCAGTAGGTATCCCATTGTGGTAGTGGCATTAACTAAAAAAGACCTACCCTGAAAAATGCCACCTCCACTGCAGTTAAAGTCAGAAGACAGACATGAAGCAAACTGAGGTGTAAGATTTCCAAAAAGTCTGAAGCCACAGAGGAGGAAAAAATCTCCTCCCCTACATACTTTCTGCATGGAAGATACAAATCTTGGGGGAAACTGAAATTTATGCAACATTTACCATCCAAGCTAAACCTATTTGCCTGCCTTTACAACACAAAATGTGTATTTATATCTTAACATACCTCACTCACATCCACTTCTGCTCCATTTCACTGACCAGCCGGCATCTCCACCACCATTGTCCTAGTCTACCTAACTATCCTCCCCCACCCCACAATTCACACTCCTTCTTGCCCATCTCCTTCACTACATCCCTCAAAATATTTCCATGAGGGAGCGGGCCATAGAAGCAATTTTGAATGGGAGCACAACCAGCAGTGGGCTTCACTCTGCAGCTACACATGTCATCTTAGATGACCCCAAATTTAATAATTGACATAACAGAGTTAGGTAATTGCATTTGGGGTAATCTAAGATGGTGGGCTGGCAGCAAGGGCAGAGTGGAGCCAAGCATTGGTTCTGCTTTCATTAAAAAGTGTCACTGCCCATGGAACAGTTTTTCATGGTGAAGTGTGCAGGAAGTGGCTTTTGCTTTAAGGCACTGCAATTGTCAGGATGAGCCTTTCTGAGTATGTGAACCCTTAGCAGCTGTCCTACCCTGCCCTGCTATTGGACTTATTCAAACTGGAGCTTATTCAAAAGTAAGTACTTGGTCATTGTGCTTGTGCTGTGGTTGGAGAAGTACAAAATCTTACCCTCCCACAAAGCATTCTTTTTTCATTCAATTAGTCCTAAAATCATCTTAGAATTAAGCAGTTGCCCCTGATCCTTGCACGAGATATGGATATATAATTCATTGTGCGGCTCCAGGGTTCCATGTCCTCATGTGGCTCTTGAGGAATGAAAAGTTGGACTGCCCCATACTAGAAAATCTACTTTGAATCAAGCCTCCTCCAAATACTTTTCAGATACACTTTCATATACAGCACATTACAATAGTTCAATCTGGATGCTACCAGATATTAGAAATAATTGTGGCTGGGTTTGTTTTCTCTTGGAAAGGACATAACTGACAAACCCACTTACAATGGAAAAGGGTGCTCCTTGCTACTACAATTGCCTGGGCACACAAGAGAAGAGGCAATTGGAAGCCACCACTAAAAGGACTATGACTTAAATAACATTTAAGACCTTTCCCCTAAAGCAGGAGAGCTCTAATCAATGGCTATTTGTCATACTAGCCTAGAATATCTACAAAACAGACACAGTTCTATCTCAAACTACCAATTGCTTAAGTAAAACAAAAGGCAGCTAGCTCCTCCATACCCTGCTTGTAAGTTTCTAAGAGTATCCAACCCACTAGGATTAGTCCTCAGTCCTATACATGTCGATCCACAAGTATGCCTGTTGAACTCAGTGTGGCTCATTCCCAGACAAGCGTGCACAGGAGTGTAAGTAATGGATTTTCGGTCCAACCTAGCAATGCAATTTTATGTTCATAAACTTTTCAGCATTAAAAGAAATGAAGACACTGAAAAAATGCATGTCTCCAATCCTACCGAGTTTTCGATGCTCCCTAAACTGCGGGTGACAATCTAAAGCTCTGCGCCATGTTTTAAGGCGACCAAAAGCAAAAGAAGCCACATTTAAATAAATTGTGCCGAAGAGGGAAAGTCAGCAAATACAACTTCTCTCGTTCATGGTAAGTGGTCCTGCCAAATCCCCTCCTCTAGCCTATTACAATAGACAGAAACCCAGCTAGAAATTCCTTCTTCACAGAGAGACTAGAATTTAAAAGGAGACTTCGGTCAGCACAATTGATTCTCGAAACATTTTACAGCCTGGTTATCATCGTGACCTTCATTAACGATTGAAGCTCAGCTGGAAAATTTACGGCCTCCGCAACCCTTACCCAAGCCCGCTAAGAATAATCACGCTAGAACTTTGAAGCCCCTTTCCTGAAGACTACGGCGAGAGACAAAGGGGCAAGACCCCAAGAGAAACTCCTCTCTTGTCACCTACCTGTCCTTGGCGGTAAAAGGACCCGGTAACAACGAGCCAAAGCCGCCATCTTTACCCAGCCGCCACGATAAGCCTCCCCTCTTTCTACCAAGTGCTACAAGCGCCTCTTGAGGCCAAAAAGCCTCATGGAAAGCGCAACACGGACATCGGAAGAGTGAGAGAGGAAATTGCGTAGCCGATGAGACCTTTGCAGACCACTCACAGACGGAGCTAAAAGGGAAGAGCGACGCTATTGAGTTAACTGGCTGACTTCTGGTAGTACAGCGGGGAGAAGGAGCAGCTGAAGGCATGAAGTAGGACTGGGGATCACACAGCTCATTATAGTTACAACTAATATTATTATTAATAATAATTATGGTAGCAAGCAAATACGTACAATTTTTATTATTATTATTATAAAAAATTGTACGTATTTGCTTGCTACCATAATAGCGTTTCCTTTTTAATTGTATCTAGTTATATTCCGGCTCTCTATTTCTGTCTCTTCTTACACGAAAAATCTGAGAGCAGCATGCTAAGCAGTTAATTCTCCGTGGTGGCTGATGGGGTGGAAGGCAGGGTCACCCCAGGGCAGAACCAAGGGGTAGAGGTGGAGCAGTTTTCTGAAATTACCAATAGAAATCAAGACATACCTCAAAGAGTCACAAAAAGTCAAAGGGTACAATCCTATATGCACATTTGGACAGAAAAGAAAGCCTACAGAAGGATGCTGGCTGGGGAATGCTGGGAAGTGAATGCTTTCTCTGTTTAAACATGCATGGGACTGCATTTTTAAATCCTAAGGGTGGCAATCTCACACAAAAACTCCTTTAGATCCATGTTCTCCTATTGCAGCTGCAGCTCCCATTGCCCAGAAAATTGAGTGACTTTAGGAGAGTCAGTGCAATAGGACAAAACACACACAATCGCACAAAATAATAAAACATGATATCCTCAAAGCCGCACAGAAAAACAATCCTTGTAATTGAGAAGCAAGTTATGAAAGTTTCCAAAAATCCACCTTTTTGCATACAGGAGTATTCTATTTAAATGAGGTACAAGATAACAGGATGATACCTAAAGCATGAAAATAGCAATTTATTTCTGCTAGAAGGATCATAAGATAATTTGCATTCCCTGACTCAAGGGTAGAAATATGGGCTGTGTTCACACACAACACTGAATGCCACCCAGCTATCGTGTCCTGGATTCACATATTTGCATGTTATCTATGCTTCTCCATTTTCCCTCCAAATGGTAGCATCTATCATATCAGCCCCCGTGGCTGGAAATCAAGCCTGTTCCTGCTTGTGTTGCCTGCCTCTCATTCGTTAGCCCACATGTTCCCTGAGCATGGTCTTAGTCATGTATGTATGTTTCTTTGTGTGTTTTCCTGCTGCTGTGCAAAGCAATTGCCTACTCAGTGAAGTAGCACTGTTCCTCTAGAGGAGCACTGCAGGAATGTTCCTCAGTGCTGCCCTGTTCTGCACCAACTTTATTTATTTATTTATTTGGGATACTTGTATGCCACCCCATTTGCATAAGCCTCGGGGCGGCTTCCAACAAATAAATAACAATACAAAAATATAAAAATTGGACACATCCAGGCAATAAATAAAACCAATACATAATTTAACAATTAATTACAATAACGTTTAAACAAAAAGGTCTTGGCCAGGCACCGAAAAACAACGACAGCACCAGGAGGACCTCTCTGGGGAGCGCATTCCATAAGTGGGGCGCCACTGCAGAGAAGGCCCTCCTCCGGGTACTCACCCTCCTGATATCTTTCACGGAGGGTTCCCGGAGAAGGGCCTCTGCTGCCGATCTCAAGGGGCGGCAGGGCATATATGGACGCAAGCGCTCCTTTAGGTAACCAGGTCCCAAGCCGTTGAGGGCTTTATAGGTAATCACCAGCACCTTGAATTGGGCCCAGACTTCAATGGGGAGCCAGTGAAGCTGACAAAGGACTGGGGTTATATGAGAACAACGCCCATGTAAGCACACCCTCCCTTTCCCCACTTTCTTACTGCACTTGTGCATATCCCTCCCATGTGCAGGACTAGAACACACTGGTAGGGGCCAGATCCTCCTACATGCAGGCACACAGAGGACATCTGTAAGGGCAGGCCATGCCAGTGACAGAGGGTGTACATCCTGTAAGAAAGACTCCCAAGGATGCCCGTGTGGGCATCTGCCTAGAAAGTTTTCTTGCTGGCCACAAGGAATGTTGTGAATAGCTGTGGTAGTAAGAGGGACAGCTGGGCTTGTTGACAGTCCTTGAGAATGCCAGGGGCAAGATAGGAGCAGTGGGGAGGGCAGGAGAGATAGTGATCACCCTGACGGCAGTGCAGCATACAAGTACATGTGCTTCTCTTGTGTAAAGCCACTTTCACAAGAGAAGAATGCTGGCTCCCCGAGTAGAAGAAACACACAGCACTTTCAAAGTGTAGCAACCAGACAGGAACACCAAGTGTGGCTGCCTCCACAGTTGCTGCTACTGGAGACAATGCAGTATGATGCCTCACTGCTCTCAGTATGAGTAGCCTGAGTTATGAATATCTGGGTTACGAACAACCCGTGCTTACAAATGCACAGACTGCCATGCTTTATGAATATCTTCAGAGAAGAGCCATGAATATCTCTAGGGAACAATATGACATGTCATTTGTGGCCACGTAGTTCCCTACAGATGATCATGACTTTTCCCTAGAGATAGAGATTAACTAGAGATAGTCACAGCTATCTTGTGGAAACTATGTGACATATTTCTATGGAACTACTTGATGCATTTGGCAGTTCCTCATCAGTGGCAGCCTAGTTCCCCAGAGATACAATAGTCTTGGATTTTTGTTCCAGGCATCAGCTCAAGCATACCCAAGCCAGTGTATTTCAGGGCACATGTAGGGCCTCAAGGATGACAAAACAGTTTCTGGGAAGCAGATGACTTTACCCTACTCCTCTGTTGTTGTTGTTGGTTTAAAGCCTGAAATCCTGTTTTTATTCATAACTTCCTAATCTATGAGGTGACATTTTGTTTTAGGTTTAGGTTTGTTTAGAACTGTGGCAGTTTATTATAGTTTATAACTAGTAACTTATAGTTTATTATAAATTAGCAGAGCAACTCAGAAATATATTCAAAAAAATGAACGAACAAAAAGAACAAACAACTTGCAGTAGTTTAAAGTGCTCAAAATGCTTCCTATTCATGATCTTGTTATAATCTATGCAAGGATGATGGTAAGCTAGCTTAACTCTATAAGACAGTGGCTTTCAAGGCTTGAAGAAATGTGTGTGTTTGGGGTTTTTTGTTTTTGTTTTTTTGGCAGTTAAATCTGAATGAATGAATGAATGAATGACCAAATGAAAGCAAGCGGGAATGGAAAATAGAACAAATTCTTAGTTTTCCGTGCTTGTTTTGTAAAACTTGTCTTTTTTAACCTATTGCCTCAGTTAAAAACAGAGGTATAAATCAGCTATGAGAGTAGCTGTTTGATGGCAAATAACTGCATTTGGTATTACTCCACATGCTGAGAATATGCAAATGAATGACTCTGAGTGGCAGAGAGAAAGCACTTCTTGCTATTGCATGTACAGTCAGATACCGCAGGACAGAGAAAGCCGAGTCAGCCGTCGTCAGCGTGAGTGAGCATTCGGACCAATTTCATAATCATCTTCAATTTTTGCTAACCATTTGGTTATCATTCAGTAAGGTGGTTTTTTGATATTACTGTAGTGGATTTTGTGACAGCACATTTCAGTTCCACTTCAGGATGGATCACTGGCTGAATCTGAAATGTAAAGGAACTGATGAAGTTGATATGGGTGCATCCTGTTCAAAGCAAAGTGAGGCTTCCAGTCATTTTAAAAAGTATCCTTGTTAAAGCAAGGAATATCTGTCAATTGGCTTGTACAGGGCCAGAGGACAAGCAACTACCATAGTGCGTGTTGTATTAGGGTAATTGGGAATTAGCATGTCAAAATACCAGAAAACGGGCCATTTGAACGAAAAGAGTGTTGATAGTATTTAAAATTTGTATGGAATCATTGCAATAAATATATTATAACAGGAGTGTGTGCATTAACAGATTAAGTTATTTCCCCTTCTCTCCAAATTTGAAGGCCCTTCATGAGAATATTGAAATAAATATTTGATGCAGTCTAGTGCTTTAAATCTTGAGTTAAGTTTTGATGGTCTGCGGCCACAAAAGGTACTTAAAGGAGGTCTGTGGTGAAGGAAAGGTTGAGAACCACTGCAATGAGACACTGATTTGAAACAATGTTCTAAACTGTTTTAAGAACCATTTCTTTTATTCATTTTTTACAATACTGTATATCCACACATATACATACAAATTCTCTCTCTCTCTCTTCAATAACTGTAGTTACTTTATTATTACTGCATTATTTCACTATTATGAGACTGTATTGTGTTTAAGATTGTTATGTCCCACGGTTTTACAGATGAGATTAGAGACCAGTTGGTATTTTTAAGAAAAGGGTTTTTTATTTCCTATAGGGAAGACACTCTCCCACAAGGACGGGATGGGTGCCGCGCTCTTTAGAGGGACAATGGAGTATTTATACCTTGTTACAAACAAAGGGAGAATTGTTTTTGACAGCCTACGCAAGCGAGCTGGCATGATATAGAGGCGAGACGGTTTTGCGGTTAGTCCATATTTTGATACAAAAGCGGAGCGGCTTGCAGCTAGCCTATCCTTTGAAGAACACTCTGTATATGCCTGGGGCGGCTTACAAGTCTCCTATTGTGCTCTATTGTGCTGACCCCAATACACAACTGATAGCCTCCTGCCACACCAATCCTGCCAGGTGGGTGGGGCCCAACAAAGATGCTTTAGTGAATATGGAATATGGAATATTTTCTTTTATATACACAGAAAGGTAAAATATATTCAGCTACTAAGACAAACATTTGACTTACTCATGTGATCCAACTTACAAACAAATTCAACATAAGGATGGTCTCAGGAACAGAACTCATCCGTAATGCAAGGACTACCTGTATTCAACACCTGGAGCTCAGCATCGAAAAAACAGTGTGCAGACAAAGGAAAGAGCAGTGCAAAGCACTCAGTCAGAGTGCGGCTGTAATTACTCAGCAATTGCTAGGCAAAACAGGATGGCAAAAAATGCAGGCTGGAGTGCCTGCTG